TATACAGACCTTTCCGGACGATACCTCTTTTGGGACGGAATCATCATTCTGGAGCAAAATGCTTTGATTTGTTTGCGATTCCCAAACTCCGTCCATGCCAATTGCTTCAAAGGTTCGAAAAAGTGATGTACAGTAAGTTCTGCCCCTGGCCTCCGCTGTCATTGGGTATCTGTCACAGCTCGCCCAGGCCATACCCTCGTACCGACTCCCGTCCTGCGACCCTTTCTTCATCCATTCTTCGTCTGCTCATTTCCGCTGAAGACGAGTCGTGAACTATGATCCACCAACCAAGATGTTGTTGACTGGTATGTGGACTGGAATAGATGTTAGCATGCGCCAAGATATCCAGGGGGCCAGCTAGCAAACATACTGAGCTTGACGAGGTAGCCGATCGCGCCCATGACGACGAAGCCGACGCCGACAGCCTGGGAAATCTTGATGAACTCGCGCTTGTCGGCTGTGTAGGGGGTTAGCGGACTGCGTGTACTGGAAGAGTAGGTCGCGAGCTGTATGCTAGGGCTAGGAGACGTGTTCGGTGGGACTAGAGAAATAACGTACGCTTCGTGCATCTGTTCTGCGCGTTAGTGTGTTTATCAAAAGACGACTGTCGTGTGTCTGGTGCGCTTCGTTGTTGCTTACCTGTTCAGGAATTGGGTGCCATCCTTGATAAAGTCCTTGGGGACGTCGGCGAGGTCCTTGAGCTGGTCGGACATGATGAGAAGTGCGAGTGGGTATCTGCGTTGGTGGTGATGTGGGCGGAGAATGGCAGGCTTAATAGGTTCGTGGTGGTGGTATGTCAGTTTAAACTGGGAGCTGGGGCGTCTGGGGACAGATTGCTGTTCCCTGGCGGCCCGCGGTCGAGCTCTTCGGGAGATTCCCGTGCCAAGCCCCGGTCGGGGCTCGAGTGCAGCAGATCCAACCAGCCAGAGCGCCTCGACACTCCCTTTCCATCACCACCATCGCGAACAGGTACCCGTCTGATCTCCTTCCAGCCCATTGCGACTCACTAACGCCGCAAATGCAGCAACTCGCACCTCACGCACCACGTTTCGCACATTTGGCACGCTCGGAGGCAAAGGCAGGACGCGTGAAGACGACTGGAAGCTTGCCGGACAGCTGCACTCGCACACTTTCCGTCCATTCGTTGAGGCGACAACCAAGTTTAAACGGAAGAAAAAGAACGCATACTCAGAGATTTTGTTCTGTCTTGTTGTACTGAGGAGTCTTTCTTCACAATACCTTTCTCAATCTGCCGCGTCTGCCACTCAAGGGCGACCGGAGGTCAAGCCTGTCATCATCATCATCACCATTGTTGAACCGATTTTCGATTTGTTACTCAGCTGTTGCGGAAGTGTACGTATGTATCACCACACACCGACTCTCGCGCGCATGTACCGAGGAGGCATTATTCCTTCCGCAAGGTGGACATATCGTCTTTGCTGCAAGCGCTCTGACTCGCTCGCATGGGGTGCAAAGAGAATGCTCTCCATCGGTCCTTGCCTTCTTTCCAATTGGCAATGTCTTCCTGTACCTATGTTTTTGCTAATCAAGCTTCAATCCTTGCAGACATTGGTGGCTTTCCTCTCGGCTTGAGGGAAACGGTATTCACAGATACTTGAATTGGGCAGTGCCTACCCTCTGAACAGCTATTGACCGCGCCTTCTCGGCCTTCTGACTGCTCGCCATGGCCGACGACGACAACTTCGACATCGACATCTACGGCGACGACCCCCAAGACTACCAGCAGGAGAACCAGAACGTCAACGATGCTAAGCAGCTTGATGGTCAAGTTGAACAGCCTATGCCCGACGCACAGCATGATTCTGCCCCCCAGAATGCTACCGTGAAGACCGAGGACAATGCGACGATCAAGCAGGAAGAGAACGGTGATATGAGTAGCGACGAACAGCACAAAATCGCCAGTACAGGCGGTTCCTCCTACAACCAACTGCAGCCGCCTAAACAAGCTCCTATTCAGCAAGGCACGAAACGCAAGGAAGGCGCGGATGACAGGCCGGTCGATCATGCTGCCACAACTGCGTTGCTCATCAGCGAATTGCATTGGTGGACCAACGAAGATGATGTACGGGGCTGGGCTAACCAGAGCGGCTGCGAGGATGAGCTTGTCGATGTGACCTTCAACGAGCACAAGGTCAATGGCAAAAGCAAAGGGTGAGTTGACTTCCATGTCGGATCTGGGCTGTCGAGATGCTCCCAAAAACGCCTTGACAGCCTACAGTCTACCTCGTGCCTTGGTGTGCTGACTTGATTGGGCCATAGACAAGTCTTTGTCGAACTCTCCTCCCCTCAAGCTGCCACCGCGCTCAAGTCCACGATCGAATCATTTGGCTCCGGTCAAACGTACGCCAAGAAGCACACCGTCGTTTTCCACCAGCCGCACATCAACCCCTACCGCACCCTTCCCAAAGACGTACCGAATCGGAAAGGCAACGACACTTCGCGCAATGACAACCGCACCTCCTCGTTCACGTCCAACAGCGGTGGCATGAGCAACAATTTCAACGGAGGCGGTGGCTTCCGTGGCGGCAGGGGCGGGTTCAACGCCAATCGCGGCAACATGGCTGGCTACAACGCGAACAGGAGCTTCTCGCCCATGGGTGGTATGCAGAACGCTGGATTTAACCCCATGGGCGGCTTTGCGGGTAACCCAATGGCCGGTGGCATGAACATGGGCTTCAACAACTTCAACCGTGGAGGTGGCATGATGGGCGGCATGCGCGGTGGTATGGGCGCAAGAGGCGGCAGAGGCGGTATGAATGGAGGCATGGGTGGCATGCCGATGGGCGGTATGGGTGGTATGCCGATGGGTGGCATGGGCGGCATGGGCATGCCCATGGGAGCGATGGGTGGCATGGGAATGGGAATGGGTGGGATGCAAGGTAAGTTTTGCTCTGTTATCTGAACTTGAGTTGTCGAACAGATATGACTAACATAGAATATGAAAACTTCAAGGTGGTTTCGCCGGAGCCGCTCAGCCACACTTCAACCCAGCTTTCTTTGGTCAGGGCCAGGCTACTGGCGGCAATGATGGAAATTGGAACCCCCACGGAAACAAACGACCCCGTCCTGAGTAAAAGGCCCCGCCCATGGAATTAGTAACTGATATACTGGTTTTTGGCCCATGGTCTTCTCTTTCACCTCCGGCCTGATGCCGGCCCGGTTCTCATGGGGCTATGTGTTGTTTTCTCATGGCGTATGACGGCGTAGCTACAGGCTTAAGAGAATAAGCGTCGGTTGCTCAAAGGTCTTTTCCGTTATCGTTTCTTCTTTTCGTCTCCTTTCCGGCTTCGTTGCCCGCTGTGTGGCCTTGCTTCAGAAATCCTTCATGTACATGCCACAGCTCAGAGCCCAGTCTGAAGGACATGATTGATTAAATGATGGTCTAGCTGCTCGTCTTTTCTTTACTTGAATTTTGGGTTCTCGCGGTGTATTGTGGTGCATGGTGGTGCATGGTGCTTGGTAAAGGGGTTATGCGTGATATTACCTAGGTTCTTGGGTCAAAACTGGTGGCGCGTGAGATGGTAGGACATCTGGTTATGGGGTCCAATTTTTGACTCGATATATACATTTCAAGGCCATCATGGTTCGATGTGAGGGATAAAAGAATGTAAGAAACATTGGTTTCTATCCATCAGAGTCGTTGTATGAATGCCATATCGTAAAGTAGCAGCGTTGCGAGGCTGGTGCAATTTGGTCATAACCGGACGCGCTTCGACCTCTTAGCTGTCTGCTATGGGCTTACTTCGACTTCCTAATTTCAAAATTTAGGTCTACTTCTCTTTTTTACCAACCGCTTTCTGGACTTACTCCAGTAACGTAGGGATCTCATTCAAGGCTTGCTTCGATGATAGAAGAGTATTTCTCGCTTGCTTCAACTATGTAGTTCGGTCATAGCTAGGCGCACTTCGACCTCTTAATATCCTGCTGTAGGGGCTTACTTCAACTTCCCAGTTGTAGCAGTATTTTTATTTCCATCTTCCAGTACCCGCTGTCAAGATCTCCTTTGACAATATGGGAATACGATTCATGGCTCTCTTTCCGATAGGTAGAGGCGTATTTTCGGCTCACTTCAACTGTGCAGTCCGGCCACAATTCAAACGACCGGTATTTACTTCTATTTCCCACTCGCCATCTAGACTTACTTCAATAACGTAGGACTTCGATTCAAAACTTGCTTCAGGATAGATAGATGCATACTTCAAGACCACTTCGACTGTCCAGTCCGGCCACAGTTCATTTGGTCGAACCTCGTTGGCTGAAAGGAAAAATGTCGCTGGCTAGCTTAGGAGCACTATGTACAATACCCAACCACCCCCAACACTTCCAGTCCTCCAGGTACGTACCAACAGAACGCGCTTGTTTTCAGTTCTTTCTGCTCTACTGGAAATTGAAAGTCGAGGTTTTACCGTGAAATCCGGCTTGGAAATAGTGTTGTATGAGTGGGCTTTTCAAAAACAGCTTTACTTGACACCCTTTTTTACGGGTGCGACAAATGAATCATCCACCACACCGATGCAGATACTTCAGCGTCTGTTCTATAATACCATCAGGCAGTGCAGAAACATTTAATCGAGAAATTATTGGTGGACAGATAAGTAGTACATGCAGGAAGGCATGCGCAAGATTGTAAAGCTGCTTGAACCTCCTTACCACCTTAACTCTGTGGGTCAAAACTTACCTACTAGCACCGATCCAACTTCAATCGCTTGAGATATCTTCTTCGCTTTTATCAGTCAATTAGTCCAGAAACTCTCAGTGCAGGCGGAACAAAAGTGCTTGGGAGGTTATCATGAAGATGGCTTGCTTGTGAACAAATATGAAAGCTCACATGAGCTTATCCGCAAATCAGCCCACTTCTTCCGTGCATAACTCCACCGAGGTTTGTCCGATCCCCTCCAAACTTTCCTCCGAGGCAAAACAGATGCTGCTGAATCGATTCATGAAGTTGAAATTGTCAAAAAGAAACGCAAAAGAGAATGGGGCCTGGCCGGGATTTGAACCCGGGGCCTGCTACAGACGAGATGTTAAACATCTGGGACGTTTCCCGAAGCAGCAATCATACCACTAGACCACCAGGCCGCTAAGAACTCGTAGGAGCTCTTGCTTGTTGATGGAAAACGATTTGGGGTTTTTATTATATATACAGTTTTTCAAGCTGTGGTCATGAGAGGTTATCCTGTGATACCTAACACACTGTTGGCCGCGTGTCAAAGAAGGACACGCAAAATTGTTGTGCCGAGATGGAGTTTTCAAAGCGGGGCTGGGAGCTTTAACGTTATTAGCTCTAGCGGCCACCCGGCTTGTCTGTCGGTGCTGACGGGTTTTGACGAGTCAGTGAACACCGACTGCCCAGCAAGAACCACCACCTTCCCATCAGACAATCGGATGTCATTGCCCGACACTACAGATCACACGAAAGACATCTGAAAGTAGATGCTACAAAGACTCAGTTGAAAATGATGCGGCACTACTGAAGCAATCAGAACTTATTGAATTTTTGCAGCACTACATCTTGCAACAGGCCACAGCGAGAGGAATGCACTCGGAACAGCTTGCAGCGCTGCCTTTTGGAATTATGGATGCGAACACATGGATCGAATTATGATAGCCGAGAAAGGACGACATCCGTTCATCGAGTCGACACAGAGATGTTTGAACGTCGTCAACCCGAATTTCTCTGGCAACGGCCAGCACCCCCGAGGCCCGGCCATTTTGATAGTTACCGGACTGCACAATGTGCACAGTCGAAGCAAGCCAGAAATACTCCTCTATCCATCTGGCAAAATGGTTGAAACCGACTTCCTAGGTTATCGAACTAAGCCTGGACAGCGGTATTTAGGAGGTCGTAATGAGCCCATACAGCAGATTGCAAAGAGGTTAAAGCACGCCCTACGAGTAAATTGACCAGGCCTCAGTTCCTGATTGACAAGTAAGAGCTCCTAAGAGTTCTCAGTGGCCTGGTGATCTAGTGGTATGACTGTTGATGGTACGCATGCTCGTGCATCAAAGCGATACCGCTGGATAAACTTCCAGTCAGCACAGAAAACAGACGACGTAAATCGTTGATTTCTCAAGATTCAGACTCGATCCACTAACTTCATGAATAGCTACCCGTATCCTCCGTTCCAAATAAAATCATGATTGATCATCATCCGGGTCGGTCCGTCGGTCCCGGCATTGTAGTGACGGATCCGGATAATCTCACCATTTCGCCTAAAAGCGCAACTATAATTATCCAAAGCGGTGGTGTCTCGCCTCAATTTCAGCCTATCGCAATGGTCTGTCCTTTTGAAAGCTACGTAAAATGCTAATTTTGGCATTCGGTCATCTGGGTAACTCTGAGAGAAAACCTTAATTTCCCGGCTTCGCCGTTACGAGCAATAGCCTCTACGGCAGTTGTCGGTTGTCCAAACCCGGAAAGTCTATATGCTCTCTGACAACGGCCTGTTTCTCCATTTCCACATAGCCCGTATTTTTTATTCTCTAATTGCGGAGAGGGCTGGGTGGCCGTCACTTTCTTACATTTATGGCGCAAAATCCCCAATATCTTCCTAGCTTCTTCACTATCTTACTTCTCTTCCATCCCAAGCGCTATCTCATGCGAAGTATGACGCTCAAATTATTGTTGCCTTTCATCATTAGTAACCTTGCAGCTGCTCGCGCTCTCCCCATTGATGCAACAACACTGAGCTGCTCAGACAGCTTCTCTCCAATCTCCGCCTCGGAATTCGCAGCCGCACTCAATCCAGGATGGAATCTCGGCAACACACTGGATGCTGTGAAGACCGAAGGTGATTGGAATAATGCTCCAGTCGTTGCATCTACCTTCGACGATGTGCAAGCTGCAGGGTTCAAAAGTGTCCGTCTTCCTGGTGAGCTATCCAATCCATGAATACGTACTTCACGGATCTGACCTCAACGAGTAACTTGGGCGTATCATTTCACATCCGAGTCTCCCGATTGGACGGTTAACTCAACGTGGCTCCAAAGAGTGTCCGATGTCGTAGATATGGTCATCACTCGAGGACTTCATGCGATCGTGAACGTGCACCAGTAAGTTACCCGAAATCATATATAGATGGGTTTTTGCTTACGATGAACAGTGACTCTTGGATCTGGGCCGACTTCAGCGCCTCAGACGCCAATATTACCATGATCGAGGAAAAGTTCTACCGACTCTGGTATCAGATCGGCACAGAACTGGGCTGCAAGTCCTCATTACTTGCCTTCGAACCACTGAACGAGCCCGTCGGAACAACAGAAACCCAAGCGGCGGAACTCAACAAACTCAACAATATCTTCCTCCAAGCCATCAACGACGCTGGTGGCTTCAACGCCGAGCGCGTCGTAACGCTCGTCGGTCTCGGCGAAGACAGCATAAAAACATCCGAATGGTTCGAGCCGCCCAACGCCAGCTTCAGCAACCCCTGGGCCATACAATTCCACTACTACTCTCCCTACGACTTCATCTCTTCTGCCTGGGGCAAGACGATCTGGGGCTCGGACGCCGACAAAAGTGCTTTGTCGACCGACTTCTCCCTCATCAGAAACAACTTCTCGGACATCCCGCTTGTTATCGGCGAATGGGCTGCTTCACCGGTAGCCACAGAGACGGCGGCGCGGTGGAAGTATTTCGACTATCTTGTTCGTGCGGCTGCGGAGTATGATATTGCAACGATTCTGTGGGATAATGGGAACGACTTCCTTGACCGCACGGCTAATACTTGGAGGGACCAGACCGCGCTCGATATCTACATGGCTGCTGTGGATGGAGAAATCAACTCTCTACCTGATAGCACGGAGGATAGTAGCGCGACAAGCCAATGGACTTCAGCCTACCTCTTTCATCAAGCAGGGACCGATGTTGTGGATCAGAGCCTGCCGTTTCTCTTCAATGGAAACACATTGACTGGTGCCACTGTTGGTGATACAGCGTTGGCAGCTAACACGGACTACTCCGTCAGCGGCAGTAACATTACATTCCGTGCCTCGTTTCTCTCAAATTACTTCTCTCCGCAAGCGACCACAGGTATCAAGGCAAATCTCACCCTCTCCTTTACCGCCGGCGCAGACTTGGAACTCAAACTAGTCCAATGGGATACCCCCGTACTCTCAACCAGCTCTTCGGCCGCTGTAGCAGATACAGACCTATCCATCCCAATAACATGGAACGGCATCGCAATACCAGCAACAGTCAGAGCGCTCGAAAGCGATGGGACGTACCTCGTCGACAGCTTCACCGTATACTACGGACCGTTGCAGCAGGCCAGAACCGTAAGTGTGCTCAAATCTCCTCCTCCCATTCATGGGCGCATTCATGGAAGGATATCCGCTGATGGAACTGTCTTGTTTCATTCAATATAGACGTACAGCTCTCAGTGGAACTGGGACGACTCGCATGTCATCATCACGTCGGCGGCGATCGATGCTGTGATTTCTGCGGGGAAGGACACCACGTTTACGATTGAGACTTATCCGCGTGTGGCTGGGAATTCTGTAAATTACACTGTGACAATGTGAGGAGATTGTTTTTGCTCTCTGAATCTCTACGCGGTTTGTGCACGGCATGGGTTTCTCTTCTGCTCTCGGGGCGTGCTTCCTCTTTGGGAATGCTGGAGTCTGGGCTTGCTTCGACGCTTTCGAGATCTGCTGTCGGGTCGTACTTCGATACCCTGGATTCGATCGTTCGGAGGAGTTCTTGCGATTGATCTCGATGAGCTGTTGCTACCATCCGGGCGTCAATATTGTTATGCCCGTGTTAAGCCATGATCTTACATGACCGTAAATGCCCTCAGAAGGCTTGCCGTCGAATTTTCTGCGTGAGATATCTCCCATTCCAAACTCATAAACGCCTGTCTTGCATTTTTCCCTGGTCAACCTAATCAGGAAACCCAGATAGTCGCGGAGAACTCCTGCCCATGCAAATTCCTCCGGAGTGGCGTCCGGCCGCATCAATTTCGACGTATTTTCCTTCCCACATTGCTGGAGACGGGATCATACACCGTTCGCCAACGGCCTCTCATCTTGCTCCGCCATAACCCAATCCGTCACGCCGCCCTTCCAATCCGCAATCCTCGCATCCCTGATCCTGACCAACACAACCCTAACTTCTTCGCCCTCAACCCAACATCCCCTCCCGCCGTCACCACTCCCCATCTCCGAAGGGTTGTTCCCCAAGACACCGTCGCCCTCGCCCTCAATCTCACTGCCAAACGTGTTATTGGCCAGATGCTGTGCCTTCAACCACTTCTCCTCATCACTACCCTGAGGCACAAAACTCGCGTCGCCGTTGATGGTGGCCGAGATACGGGACAGCGCAGCCGTGTTCATGCCGAGCAGGAGTGTCGCGAGCGAAGAACGCGAAGCGGCGGGCGGAGGCGAAGCTTCCCGGCCAGAAGCCAGGGTCGGGGGGCGCGCCGACACCCAGTCATGCACGAGGAGGGAGACGCGCGGGTTGGCAAGCAGGTTGGCGGTTTTCTGGGATGTGGGCGGCGTGGTCATGATGATTTGGGGCGAGGGCGAGTACGGCGATGAGGGGAGGTAGGTGTAGTTCATGAGGGAGATGTGGGGCGCGGCATCTGGGGAGGAGGTCGCGAGATGGAGCTGTAGCGAGCGCGGGTTAGTGGAAGAGCTTTGGTGGTGGGGAGGTTGAGGAAGTGTGAGGGCTTACGAAGCGAGCATTTTCGAGGGATTGGACGAGATCCTGGGGAAGGGTGCAGGAGGTGAGCGGGGTGCTCTGTCTTTCGGGCATGATGGCGTTTAGGTGTGTAATGTTACTGTTGTGGTGGCTGGTGGTAGTGTCGGAGGGGCGGGCGGTGATAGAGGATTGTGGTGTTGAAGCTTGCAGCTCTTTGTCCGATCTCAGGCTGACCGTAAATCGGACGGGAATCGCGGAATGACGATAACGGCGGGAGGTCAGCCACAGCACCAGCCACATTACCAGCCCCATCACCAGCCACTCATCCAGCCCAGCCGCTGAGCCCTGAATGTCACTGCCACTGCCACTGCCACCCTGCGTAACCCAATGTGGCGCAGCAACATCGACCACATCCTCCGTACTCCTCACCCTCTTCCTCCTC